AAGCCAGTAGGACGCCCCGCACCTACTGGTCCTGGTTTTTTTTTTTTAATGAGCGATCGAGAAATATTTCGCATCGGCGTGTACGACGACGGGCGCTGGCGCGCGATGACCTTTCTTCCCACAGCGAAAGCAAATGAGGGAACGATTGCATCGCCCACCGCTACAGCAATAAATCCCGCGACGTCGATCACTCGACACGTTGAATGGGTCGATCTCCCTGGACTCGGCGGGGTAGACTCTCGGGCTTATGCAGGTATGGCTGTGGCGACGCAGCGACTATGTAATCCTCGCGAATCGCGAGTGCAAACACCTCCTCGAGATAGGAGGGTTCAGCTCTGGTAAGACAATAACGGGTCATACCCTCGCGTATGCCTAACACGAGTACGTGGCCTTGCGAGGCCTTTTCGATTGGCTTGGTCACGATGCATGGGACCAGATGTCACGTCTTCTGAACATAATCACGCATGGACATCTTTCCTTACCGAAGAGCGAAGAACGCTGCACGAACGCGAGGTGCAAGTCACTCTGGTGAGTTTCCAGAGTTGGGAATCTTCAAGGTCAACAGACAGGTTGCCAAGGGTCTATTATTTGGCCTTCCCGTCTAACCGGGAGAGGAGGAAGTTCGGCTTGGCGGACGACACCTCGATGAGTCGCGAGGTGATAGCGATGATGGTCTCGCGGAACCACCGTTTAGTGGGAGTCGGTTTCCGCAGGCGTCAGAATACGTCGACGTCTGTAACTTGATGACGTCATTCTAGGATGGAGGCGAGGGAGTTGACACCCGCCGATTCGCATCGGCGAGCTCGCGTTTCATGAACTCTTGTGCTACAAGACGCTGCTGGTCGGGCGTCGCTGGGCTCGGCAACGATGCGACAGCGACATCGCCGGACACCGCCACGAGGCGGTTAGGCGCTTCCCACTCCACGCGAGTAAGATGGGGAAATGCAGCGTGCTCCAGGGTCGCCCTGGATATCTGGACCTGGCTCATCGTAGCCTTGGTCGTTGGAAGGACAACTAAGTGCTAGTAGGTGTAACGTGGTGAGAGTTACCGTCACTAGCTTACACTGTAGTGTGGAGGAAGCTCGCAATAGTAAAACCAAGTCTTAGGTTTGTGTCAAATTTAACTCTGATATATTTAGGACCAGGGCGGCTACCCCTGGCCTTGTGTGAGCCACTCAAATACATGTCTACACCTGATTGGTCAATAAGTGAGTCTAACTCCTCAATATCAATCAATCAGATGATGACAGCTTGACACACGCTACCCGTGTGCCACTTCACCTACTTCGGTAATTACTCCAAAAATATCTACCTACTTATGTAATTGAAGTTGGACCCATTCCAGTATTGCCGCAACCCAACTGTGACAAAGCCCTGACGCCTAGGTACATGGTCTCCCATTAACCATGCTTCTAGATGGGTGTGAGCGGGTACACATCGTACGATCACTGACGTTCGCCATCCGCAGAAATCGTCTTTTACCAGGGCCCGAGATCACACAATGGATCCAGAGCGTCTTCGACGGTTTTGACCTCAGAAGGCGTTTTACAAACTCGGCGGCTTCCACGGTCGAGTTCCGTTTTCGATTGATCCACCGTACGTGCTCTCCGTACAGTGATCGCCGACCTGACAGCTAAATGCATATCGCATCCGGCCGACAATTGCGCTGCATCGGCCAAGTCCAGCCCAATAGATGGCTCCATGAAGGCTATGCTGAGGACCACGTCCTGATCCGTCATTTCACAAACGCACACATCGAAGAGGTACATAAGCGATCCATCCAAAGTCGTGGTATGTCCTTTTGTCACATACACGCTTTCTGTAATACCAGCACATTCGTGCCGTTGACTCTCGTCTGCAGTACCGGTTTTCCCGTCGCACCGGCCCGCTTCTCCGCATGGCACTACGGTTTTGCGACAGATATGCCGATCCCAAAACAGTATACCTGGGATTCGCGCTGAAGTATTGTCCAGTCACCGAACCTGTCTGACGAAGCTCTCGGTACCGGTTGCGGCCGATCCTGCGAACAGGCCTCCCAGAACCAAGCACTTCTCGCCGACCAGGGTCTGATAGCGTACGAAGGCTAGCTTTACATTGCTTATCCAAGATTACGTGCGATCTTCGTCGCCGGCCTTCCTTGGTATCTCTCAGAGCTCAGATAAGCCAGAGTCAAGAACGCGCGGAGCGATTACCAACGTTCCCGCTGCTGTGGCAGCTCTAGCCATCGTTGATGGGAATTGCGAGATCCCGATTGTCTGGATCGTGCCCGGTGTGATCTGAGACAATCGATTCCAGATCGACATCCTGCCGCTTGGTCGTTGGGGCTGGTGCCGTGATTAGCGTCTCCTACGCAGTGCGTTGCTAATTCAAGAGACATTTCGTCGCCGCGTCGAAGAACACCTCCAATTAATCCGCATTGTCGCCCGATTTGCTGATTATTGAGAGTATACATGATTTGGCTCCTCGCTCGACACACGATCAATCTGGCTTGCAGCATTGCGGCCCCTGAGGGGCCAAGCGGCATGCGGTCGACGCCTTTAGAGCTTTCAGGTCCAACCATCGAGGGAGTTAAAGGTAGCTTGAATTCTGCGACGATCCGGCCGTCCAATAGGATCGAGGGAGGCGTGGAAACGAGGCCGCCGGCTTGAGCTCGGTCTTGACTGCCCCCCCTAATGGCCGACCCTGTAATGGGTCTACTTTAAGCCCACTTCTTTGGCTTACACGTTAGCGCACCTGAATGAGGAAGCGTAAGTTGCGGTCACTTAGATTAACTACTTTTTCAAAAGTATTTATTTACTTAAATAGGAGAGAAAACCCGATTTCCGGTAAAAATGAGAACTGTTTATGTTTTTTTTCTAATCTAATTCTCTAAACGAATGGTTCACATAATCCTACTATTCCAATTGGTTGAAGATATTGACTTTCAACCAATGAATGCCCTAAGTGTATGCAGACCAGCAGGTAACCATTGGTGTATCTCACACCAACGTGGAAAACCTCTTTCGTGACCAAGTGGCTATGTTTTGTCGCTTGCGTGTAACCCCATCACCCCCCCCCCCGTTAAGCCAAGACTCTCTAGTCCTAACAGATCATTCAAAGACTATTGACGAGGGCGTCAAAACGTTTGAAAACCCTGAGATCATTTCGCAATGAGCTCACCGAGGAAGATGCCTGCACAAGAGTCTGCTACGTATGTGCCTGCACCTGCAGGCACGAACACGTCAGTGTCCGCGCAAGCGAGCACGCCCGCGACAGAAAGAAATCTTTCTGTCACTCAATACACGCCAGGTTATTTTGAGCACCTACGTTTTGATCTGTAGCTCAGTCAGTTTTACGAGTTGGTTGATGCTGTTTAGAATTGTTTCTATCGCCAAACGCAGTTTGGGACATATTTTAACGTGTGATATCGCCGTTTAGAGATGGGCTAGTATACAAGTGACCGTTTTGGTCGTTGCGACCACTAATACGACCACCCGTACCCACACAAAAACAAGAAAGACCGAATGATGATATATGTAACGGGGCTACATGGAGTGTTACACACTGGGGCACGGAGTACCCGGAGAGCTAGCAAGGTCTCTAAGTGCGTTGGCTGAAAGCCACACGTCATGCATTTGATTAGTTTTAGCTATGCTTGATATTAAACAGATACATTGGCTTGGCCGCAATAATAGTAAATAAAACAAATATGGTTTTGAAGCATAAAGCTAAAGTATTAACTTTGAGCCCTCGTTGTGGGCTGTAAGTGTCCTACGTATAAGGAACTTAGTATTAGTGGCTTTTTGAGTCAAATGTATTCCTCTGACGCTAAAGCCCGCTGCAAGTAACAAACTGTCTAACAAGGTATAACACAAAATAAAAGACCAGCAGAACGCTTGAGTTGGGCACATACTCGCCGTTTATGCCAGCAATACATGCCAAACTCAACACGGGCTGTATGACGTTCTCTGGGAAAACCTACTAGACTGTATGAAAATTGATGAATGCCGTCTAAGAATCATGTGAAAGTGAAGAAGTGGGTGGGTGCAAAAACCACCAGGGCTATTACAACGATGACGTCATAGTACAAATATACAAGCTTCTTGTATGCCCCAACAAATTTTGTCCTTAAAAGCAATATCGTCAAATTCCAATTGGCTTTGTCCCTTTAAGAGCAGCAATAAATGTGCTGCTCTGACCCCCTCCCCTCTCCCCCTCTTAGACATGTTCCTTTTGTTTTTGCTGATACGTGCCGCAGTTAAATGACATTTATGTCGAGACTTTTTGCAGCGGAGCTGCCGTAGCTTTAGCGTCAGAGGAAGACATTCGACTCAAAGAGTCACTAATACTAAGCTCCTTATCCAAAGGAACTTTCATCCCACGACCAGGGCTCAAGGTAAATACCTTAACTTTTATGCTTCAAGACCAGAAGTCTTTTATTTACTATAATTGCGGTCAAGCCAATGTATCTGTTTAACTATATAGCATAGTTAAACCTAATCAAATGCATAACGTGTGGCTTTCAGCCACCGTCCTGAGAGACCTTGTTAAGTTTCCGAGTACTCCGTACCCCAGTGTGTTCCATACCATGTGACCCCGTTACACGCCCCCCCCCCCACTAAGTTGAGAACATTCCGTTCTCGAACCTTCCGCAGCCAGGACACGTCTTGTCAAGGCGGCGGAGGTTTATACACCTCACACCAGCGTGCACAGCTCCGCGAGCTCTCAAACGCCTACGCATCGCTGATGCCCCCCGTTTCGGCGTCGGCCCACGGCTCAATGTTCGAAGCGCACCGCGCGTCTTGTTTTCAAGCGGTCTCAGACCTAACCGATGCTCCGCGCCCTCTCGAAGAACTGCAAAGTGCTTAGAGCTATGTTCTTGACTCATCCGAGTCGTCGACAACAGCTCAACGGCTGAACACTCTCTTAACAAGTGATTGGTCGGTGGTTCGATCCCACCAGGGAATCGCCCTCTCGATCTATGAACGATTGTCCACGCTTGGACAGGCTTAAGTGGCAACTCCCTTTTAGCTCAATGGTTGAGCGTTGGCTTTGAGAGCCACAACCACAAGTGGTTCGAGCCCACCATGGTACAGCCCTCTCGTTCCATGAGCTGTTGTCCTATAATGGACAAGCGTAAGGGCAACACCCTTTTAACTCAGTGGTCGAACGTTGGCTTTGGAAGCCACCGGTCGGTGGTTTTATTCCACCCGGGCGCAGACCTCTTATACCATGATTAGTCCTTACTCAATAAACGTGTGGGCATCGCCCTTATAGCTGAATGGTAGAGCTCCGGCCTGGAAAGCCAAAGGCCAGTGGCTCGATCCCCGTCCGGGACACATGTTACAGCGCATCCACATTTGGATCATTCTGATCGAGCATGTTGTTTTAAAACAACAATGCATCTATCGGGACGCCTGTGACTGAACCTTGTTCAGCACAACATGAAGCACCTGCTTCCTTCGGTATGTCCCCAACAGCACGACGTCTCTCCACCTCCTTCTCCCGCTGCGGGCACCGCTCATACGTACGAGCTGGCTGCTGCAGCCACTGGTCAGAGCCTGAGCTCAACTACTGACCTGTTCGCTCTCTACTCTAGTGGGAGGCACCCAGCGCCTGGCGACGCTGTCTCACGCCATGGTGGCGCTTCGGCACAGGATGTGCCCGGTCGTAAGCGTCCACGACGTCAGGGCAATCTTGCCGGAGGATAATCTCAAACTCCCACGAGTTCTGTGAGTGAGGGTAGCCCCTCCACTTTACAAAGTACCGGGTACGACCCTGGCATCTACGCCGCGCCACAAGGTATTCCAGGTGATAGTGGAGCTCACCATGCTCGAGCGGGAGGAGGACCTGCCCCAGCTGGGCTCTCGCGGGGAGAGTCAGCACCTGCCAGAACGGCGTCTGTGTCCATACGACGCCGGAGTCCACGACGCGAACATTCACATTCACCGCCCATCGGTCGATCTCGACGAGATGCTCCACCTTGTTGATAGGTTACAGCCACCACTGTCGACTTACAGCCAGGTATCGGACCTTGAGCGTCCAGGCGCTCGGCTGAACGTTCAGCTTGCCTTGCTCTTGTATCATGAGCACTTCGCTCCGCGGCCTGTTTCTCTGCCACATGCTGTTGATCAGCCTGATGTGGGTCCACCACTTGCTGTCATTCAGCCTCCCGTGGATCTACCACCTGTTGCCCTGCAGCTGTCCGTGGCCCAGCCACCGTTGGCGCAAACGCCTCCGCGCTCACCTGAGCAGGGTCTTGAAACGGCTTAAGCAAGCCAACATAGAAGACCGGATGCGTGCGCATCTTCTTCGGAAGGTTGAGCGTATACGCTAGACGCTTTCTGGCCACGACCTTGAGCGGTCCTATGAGCCGAGTTCTCAACTTCGTCTTGAAGACTAGACACTGCATGAGTTGGTAGGTTTTTCGCGTTTAATAAAACTTGGTCACCGACCTCAAACCTCTCAACATTGCTTCTGCCCTTGGCATCTGCATGTTCCTTCTGCATGTCTTGGTTTCAGTCATAGTGTCGCGTACTTGACGCATTACGCTCAGTCTCAAAGAGACAGAGTAATCGACTTGCTTGCGAACCGCAACAGAGCTGACATCAGCTAGCCGCTCGGCTTTCCCTCCCCTATAAAGACCTGAGCCACTGCGTGGCGGCGTCAGTGGGACGCGAGGGTTCACCGAGCCGTTCACATAGAACGGAGTGTAGCCTGTCGAGGCGTGCACTGCATTATATAAAGCGAACGCAACGAGTGGGAAGCATCTGGCTCCAGCGATTTGGCGTCTCAGCGCATACGCTTCGAAGGATATCCTCCACAACGCGATTCACGCGTTCGGTTTGACCATCGGTCTGCTGATGGTCCGCTGTGGACATGTCCAAACGAGTGCCGAGCACTCGTAACAGGGACGTCTAGAGCTTTGCGGTGACGCGCGGGTCTCGATCCGAGACAATTGCCTCGGGCAAGCTATGTTGGCAAAAGGCGCGGTCTAAAAACAGCAAATCTGTACCCTCACCATCAATGGTGTCCGGCACCGCCGCTAAATAAGCCATCTCGCTCAATAGGTCTACAAAGATCACAATACCCGTGTTTCTCGCCTTATCCTTGGGAAGGCCAAACACAAAGCTCATACTCATGGACTGCCAACATCCCTTGGGGACAGGCAAACTCGCCAATGGCGCTGCCGTGCTCGGCGCGGACTTTGTCCGTTGACACGTCTCACACGTGCGTACATAGGTTCCAGTCCACTTATACATCTTGGGCCATCAGTACTTCGAGCTCACCGAGCCATAGGTCTTCTCCCGACCTAAGTGCCCGCCCACGGGCGTATCATGAACCTCATAGAGGATTCGATACTTACCGTCCCTGCCTCGTGCTTCGCACGGAAGAATGCGTCAATGACGTTACACTGCTCTCTTGGCAAAGACCATTGCCTTGCTACGCAGTATTTGGTTCCAGGAACCGGGTCAATCGCATGACACACGCCTCGATCCGGAGTCAGGCCCATCAGTGAGTCTTTCGAGACAACGTCTCCATATTCCTTTACCACAGGGTAGAAGGGATCCGCGTAGGATCTTTTAGGATCGCCTATCCACTTCTTGCGCCCAGCGCCTTCTTGGTGTCCTCTAGGGCCGCGTCGTCCACGACGGATGAGGAGTTCAACTTCTCCTCAGGTTCCGGCAGATCCACCTCGGCTAACCCGCCTGCCCTCAAGGCTTCGCCAAACTCGGCAATGGACATCTCGTTCAGCCCTAGCAGAGCATCTACAGCGGGCAGTGTGTGAAGGCTAATGTTTCCTTCGACCTCCCCCGTCACTCCATTGACGAGTGTGTACAGCTGTTCACAGCAATCACGTGAAGCCTCACCGCTCGTACCCCGTCTGACGTCGAAGACGTCACAGACGCCCTGCGTCTTCTTCTTCTCTCCCTCCGCGACCGAGCCCAGCCGGATAAGGGCAATGTGGCGACATCTCCATCACCACCACCGAATGCAGCAGCGCCATCACTCCTTGAAGAGGAGACAGTGTCTCGCAAGACACTCGGCTGAGAGCCAAGAGGTCCTTGGTCCTCACACATTGAACTAAGTGTCACTTCACCTCCATCTCCTGGGCCGCGTCCACGATGCCTCGACTCGCAGTCGACCGCGGCCCTCGGGCCACGCAGCGGTACAGATCCGTACCACTCAGTGGATTTCGCGCCACTCCGCGTTCGTCCTCACCAGGACCCAGCAGCTGGTCACTGACATGACCTGCACCGCTCAGCGGATCCCATGCCGCACCGCGTACGCTCTCAGGGCAAACAGCAACCTCGTTGCTAACAATTTCGGGCATACCAAAGTTCAGCACTACGACCGCATCGGCTTCGTGCTCGCTTCAAAAGCGCTTCTGTTTGGCTGGGCCACGGACAGCTGCAGGGCAACAGGTGGTAGAGCCACGGGAGGCTGAATGACAGCAAGTGGTGGACCCACATCAGGCTGATCAACAGCATGTGGCAGAGAAACAGGCCGCGGAGCGAAGTGCTCATGATACAGGAGCAAGGCAAGCTGAACGTTCAGCCGAGCGCCTGGACGCTCAAGGTCCGATACCTGGCTGTAAGTCGACAGTGGTGGCTGTAACCTATCAACAAGGTGGAGCATCTCGTCGAGATCGACCGATGGGCGGTGAATGTGAATGTTCGCGTCGTGGACTCCGGCGTCGTATGGACACAGACGCCGTTCTGGCAGGTGCTGACCCTCCCCGCGAGAGCCCAGCTGGGGCAGGTCCTCCTCCCGCTCGAGCATGGTGAGCTCCACTATCACCTGGAATACCTTGTGGCGCGGCGTAGATGCCAGGGTCGTACCCGGTACTTTGTAAAGTGGAGGGGCTACCCTCACTCACAGAACTCGTGGGAGTTTGAGATTATCCTCCGGCAAGATTGCCCTGACGTCGTGGACGCTTACGACCGGGCACATCCTGTGCCGAAGCGCCACCATGGCGTGAGACAGCGTCGCCAGGCGCTGGGTGCCTCCCACTAGAGTAGAGAGCGAACAGGTCAGTAGTTGAGCTCAGGCTCTGACCAGTGGCTGCAGCAGCCAGCTCGTACGTATGAGCGGTGCCCGCAGCGGGAGAAGGAGGTGGAGAGACGTCGTGCTGTTGGGGACATATCCCGAAGGAAGCAGGTGCTTCATGTTGTGCTGAACAAGGTTCAGTCACAGGCGTCCCGATAGATGCATTGTTGTTTTAAAACAACATGCTCGATCAGAATGATCCAAATGTGGATGCGCTGTAACATGTGTCCCGGATGGGGATCGAGCCACTGGTCTTTGGCTTTCCAGGCCGGAGCTCTACCATTCAGCTATAAGGGCGATGCCCACACGTTTATTGAGTAAGGAGAAGCGCTTTTGAAGCGAGCACGAAGCCGATGCGGGCGTAGTGCTTAAAGCTGTACCCTCACCATCAATGGTGTCCGGCACCGCCGCTAAATGAGCAATCTTGCTCAATCGGTCTACAAAGACCACAATACGCGTGTTTTCCGCCTTATCCTCAGGAAGGCCAAACTCAAAGTCCATACTCATGGACTGCCAGCATTCCTTGGGGACAGGCAAACTCGCCAACGGCGCTGCCGTGCTCGGCGCGGACTTCGTTCGTTGACACGTACCACACACGTGTGTACATAGGTGCCAACCCACGTTTACATCTTGGGCCACCAGTACATCGAGCTCACCGAGCCATAGGTCTTCTCCCGACCTAAGTGCCCGCCTACGAGCGTATCAGGAACCTTAAAGAGGATTCGATACTTCAGGTTTTCATCCTGAGGAACGACTACACGAGGGTTATCCTCAGAGTCGGTGCTGTAGTAGAGCAGGCCGCCATCGAGCGAGTATCGATGCAGCCTCGCGCGTAATCGCCCAGACAATTCCTTGTCAGCGTCTTTAAACGCTTCGCTCCCAAGAGCTCATTGCAGCGCTACGTACATGTTGTACTGTGCATACGCTCTGCGTATCAAGTCAGGCACTGACGATGTCAAAGTCGTGACATGGGCTAATTCGTGGTCCGGCCTGCGCGATAGCGCATCGGCCACTACATTAAGCCGCCTTGTACTTCACCTCGAATTTAAGTTGTACTCGACAAAGAAGGAAAGTTATCTTGCCATTCTCTGAGAGAGATGAGGCGCATGTGTCGCAGTGCGTTGCAAAGCATGATCAGTAAAGATAACAAAAGGCTTAGATGTACCGTGAATTTGACTAGAGCATACTTCATTGTAGGTAGCTCTTTGTCATGAACGGGATAGTTCTTCTCTGCAGCTTTGAGCTGGTGAGACTTAACCGAAATCACGCGCTCACGCCCTTCGACATCTGCTTGAAGTAAAGCGCAGCCGATTTCAAAATCGGAGGTGTCACAGACGACGCTAAACGAACGATCCGGGTCCGGTAGCGCAAGGATCGGAGCCTGGAGGAGGCCCTCCTTCACAGCCTGAAAGGCTCCGTCGTGCTCGACGTTCCAGCACCATGGTGCATCCGGCTTAAGGAATCGGATAATGATCGGACCATCTCTGCGTAGCTCGCGCTGTACTTGTGCAAGTAGTTGGCTAAGCCTAACCACTTGCGTAAGTCTTATTGGCTCTTGGGAACCGACCAGGCCACGATGGCCTTGACTTTGGCAGGATCCGCCCGTAAGCCACGCTTCCCAAAAAGGCACCCGAGGAAAGGTACCTCCTCCTCTCCAAAGACGCACTTGTCCAAGTTGGCATACAATTTATTAGTGCGCAAGCACTCCAGCACCGCTCGCAAGTGGTCAATGTGGTTCTCCACGTCTGACTTGCCGATGTAAGCACGGACGAGGTGTCCTTTGCCGAGTTTGGCGAAGCCTTGAAGGCAGGCGAGCTAGCCGAGGTGGTCCTGCTGGGACCTGAGGATGAGTTGAACTCCCCATCCGTCGTAGATGAGACCGTCCTAGATGACACCAAGAAGGCGCTGAGCGCAAGAAGTGGATCGGCGAGCCTAAAAGGTCCTTGGGATCATTTCTACCCTGTATGAGATTGACCTGGTTCCTGGAACCAAATACTGCGTAACGAGGCAATGGCCTTTGCCAAGAGAGCAGTGTGGCGTCATTGACGCATTCTTCCGTGTAAAACACGCGGCAGGGATGGTGCGTGAGAGTGAGTCTCCGCACTCGACACACACGTTCTGTGTCAGAAAGCCGAACTGCAAGTGGCGCATTGTTCATGTCTTAACAAGCTAAATGCGGCGACCATCCCGGCGCAAACGTCGATTTCTCGCAAGGACGTTCTATGGTAGGCTGTACGTTGTACAGCGCACTCAGCTTGGTCGATGGTGACTACCAATTTCTCATGAGAGAGAGCGACATTCTGCTGACAGCGGTGAGTACTCCAAGCGGTATGCTCTGGGAGTGGCTGATCATGCCCCAGAGGCTGTCGAACGCACCAGCAACGTTCAATCGTCTTGTGACGCAGTTGTTAAGGCAGCCCTAGCAGAGCATCTACAGCGGGCAGAGTGTCAAGGCTGATGTCGCCTTCGACCCCCCCCCCGTCACTCCATTGAAGAGTGTGGTTAGCTGTTCACAGCAACCACATGGAGCTCGTCACGTAAGACACCTCGTCCGACGTCGAAGACGTCACAGACGCCCTGCTTCTTCTTCTTCTCTCGCTCCGCGACCGAGCCCGGCCGGATGAGGGCGGTGTGGCGACATCTCCATCACCACCACCGGGTGCAGCAGCACCATCACTCCTCGAAGAGAAGACAGTGTCTGGCAAGACACTCGACTGAGATACAAGAGGTCCTTGACCCTCGCACAGTGAGCTAGGTGTCACTTCATCTGCATCTCCTGGGCCGCGCCCACGATGCCTCGACTCGCAGTCGACCGCGGCCCTCGGGTCATGCAGCGATAGACCATCGCCCAGATCCGTACCACTGAGTGGATCACGTGCCACTCCGCGTTCGGCCTCACCATGACCCAGCAGCTGGTCACTGACATGACCTGCACCGCTCAGTGGATAACGTGCCGCACCACGTACGCCCTCAGGGCGAACAGCAACCTCGTTGCTAACAATTTCTGACATACCAATGTCCAGCACTACGGCCGCCTCGACCTCGTGCTCGCGCCAAAAGCGCTTCTTCTTCCTAGTAGAGGTGGGTTCATGACTCACCAAAGCTCCATTAGGAGCAGGGTGCGACACACCCAGCGTTTTCGACTTCCAGTCGATCCATGGCTCATGGCTTTCTACCATGCCATGCCAAGGATGAGGCCATATCTCGCATCTAGATCTAAGACCAAACAGCGTTACACGCTATCGAAGTTCTCAAACTTCACTCCAAGGTCGACAGAGGCCTTTGACACAGTTATCAGTGTCCCCGTCGCGACACGGACAGAGATCGTATCTCTCGTTGACACTTCCAGTGCCTCAGCATACAGCTGACTCCCTTCCAGGGTGGAGCAACGGGCATAGCTGCCTGAGGCTCCCGAGTCGATCAGAACTCTCCATGGCTTTTCAAAGCCCTTCACGCTCGCTTGAAAGACCAGCAAGCCCGGCTTGCACACACTCTTCTCGTAAGAGAGCTCAGCTCTCTTCGGGGCTGCGCCACGTTGCCCTCTACCTCCTCGAGGCACTTCAGACCTCAGTTCTTCCCCAGTAGGCCGCCTCGCACCTACTGGGAGCTGTCGTTTCCCGGCGATGGCCCGGAGGGTTGGCTCGCCGGAGCCTCGCGCTTCTTGCGCAGAGGACAATAGGCCCTCAAGTGCTTCTGCGATTGCACACAGAGCATCGGCGGCTGCCGCGCTGCTCCACAGCAAGAAGCTCCGCTTCTTCGTCTTCAGCATAACTGAGGCTCATAGGCTCCGGGCCGCTCAAAGAGCTCGCGCTACCAGCGCTCCAAGCAGGTCGAGCCGAGCTGAGGTTGTGCTCGACATTCAATGCGTCATCCACCGCCTCTTTGAAAGAGTTAGGGTGTACACGGAATACTTCCGTTCGAGCTGCGCTCACACGAAGTCGTACCAAGAACACAGTCACGCTGATCAGTTCCGGAAGCGGGTCTGCCGCCATTCCGACGATAAGAGCTCTCAACTCTTGGACATAGTCCAATAACTCCGTCTTATCTGTCGGGTAGCAAGGAACTTCGACCGGATACGGTACGCCTGAATAGGCGGTGCGAACACGCGCGACAGCTGTTGCCTAAGCTGATCCCAAGTGGGTTTCCCAGCGTTAACAGACGTGCTGCACGTTAGTGCCCATTTGCGAGCGCAGTCTCCAAGCCTGGAGATAGTCAGCGCTACGCGCTGATGCTCAGACTGGAGCAGGGTCGATCCCACGGTCATCTTGACCTCACGGGTCCAGAGAAGGAGATTCTCTCCATCCTTCCCCGTTTTTACGCTCACCATGAGCGGTGTTAGTCTCATAGACCCTTCACGCGTCATCGACGCCGCTGCCGTTGTGGCGCTCATCCTCTCTTGGACGTGCTCCAAGAGCGCGTTCTCGTAGCGTGAGAACGATTCCAGCCTGGCGGTGACCGCCTCTGGACCTTGCGATGCAAGTTGGGCCACGCCCTCCGGGCCAAGCAAGGACATAAGCTTATTAAGCGCGTCCTGCCGCGCCGGGGGCAAATTCGCGAACACGGGGTGCTCCATCCTCGCAGAGGATATTGTCAAACGACTCAGGAGCAGGATTGAATTGAAGGGCTGCCATAGCTTTAGCATCAGAGGAAGACGTTCGACTTCAAGAGTCACTAATACTAAGTTCCTTATCCAAAGAAACTTTCAGCCCACGACCAGGGCTCAAAGTTAATACCTAAACTTTCATGCTTCAAACCCAGAAGTCTTTTTTTACTATTATTGCGGCCAAGCCAATGTATCTGTTTAACTTTCTAGCATAGTTAAACATAATCAAATGCATAGCGTGTGGCTTTCAGCCACCGTACTGAGAAACCTTGTTAGCTCTCCAACTTGTGTACTGAGAGTCTCTCTGGGTACTCCGTACCCCTGTGTGCTACACTTTTTTTATCCAGTCGTGTCACCTGAATAGTTTGTCAAGCACGCTTAAGTTTTTACCCTTAAGTTCTGATCAAGGTCTTAACGTTGAATGCGACACCGCTACGGTCGGAAACCCATTAAATGGGTACAAATTTAGAGGCTTCTTTTCATTTTAAAATTAAAAAGTCATTTTAAAATTAAAAAAAAAACATTTTAAAATAAAAAAAGTCCAATAAACCCTTGGCTTTAAAATGATGGGTGGGTGGGTTACCCAAAAACCAAATAAGCAAAGATCCAAGTCGAGAACACCGATGTCGAGAGAGCTGGAGCTAGCGCTTCTTGTAGTCAATGACGGCACCCTGTCGGTGCTGCGAATCATGGAAGACATGTCTGGACGGGATTTGCTGAAGGCGATCCAGGAAGACATCGACTACAAGGACACTCTAAGACTTTTCGTGGCACAAAAATCAGACAAGTCATGGCAAACTTTAACCATGCGTGATGCGCAACGAATGAGAAAGAAGGAGCCTGTGCCGTTTGTGAAGGAACTTCTAGTAGATGAGAACGAGATGGACCCACGCTGGCCACTGGTTGATTATCACTTCCCAAGCCTCGACGCAATGCAAGATAGCGTTCACATTTTAGTAGCGAAGCCCGGATACGTCTCCGTTGCTCCTGAGTGGAAGCCTGAGACCATGTGGGGGTCTTCACTTGAAACTGGTACATTGCCTTTTGTCGGACGAGGTCGTGCTGCTAAGAAGCTACAGAGTATTCACTATTCTAACTTCACCGGGGCTCGCGACAGATCGGGAAGAACGACGTGGCAAATTCCACTGGTAGACAACGTGTATGGAACAGGTAAAACAGAGCTGGGAAGGAAGTATATCGACCAATGCAGGCAAGCCCTGAGTAACGAGAAGCCTCAAGATCCTGAAAATCAGCAGGAGCTCACCAGCCGGGAGCCAACGCAGCACCGTCAACCCAGTCAGCATGAGTTTCTAAAGCAACTGTGTTCGTGTCGAACGGTTCTTGTTCGAGGGACACCGCGGCAGTTTGTAGTGCCACCCGATTTACTAAAGGCAAAAATGAATGAAGCTCTGGCTACGGCAATTAGTGAACTGCTCCAACCAGGGACGATGCCTGCTACGAACGCGAGCGATGCGGCGTATGATTTTGCGACGGAGTTGGTGCGTGTGCTGGGGCCTTTGTTTGTTGTGCTGGATAACGTCGGTGAGGCATTCGAAGACCCACGTGGAGATGTGGTATCACGAGAGCGTTTCATGGACGCTTGCAAGAATGTGCTGGTGTCGTGGACGCAGGTCCCTCAGCTGCATCTTCTGGTGCTCGGTTATGCAGATTTTCTCCATGACGTTGTTCCCGATGCCAGTTTGAACTCCTACATGATCGTGCGATTGCCGATGCAGTGGATGACTGTGAATGCAATCAAAGAAATCTTGTGCAAGACACGAGTTTCAAGTGCCGATACCCGAACACTCAGTGCTCGCTGGAAATTATCGACTGATGAAGATTTGGAGGACGCAGCCACGCGCTTGTTTGCAGCCTCATCAGGTCATCTTCAAAAGATTATCAAATTTATCTCGGGCTACCCAACGTTTGCCTCTTTTTGTAATTTCGTGGATAGTGGAGGCGACTTCAACACGAAGGCAATCGACTTTGACCACCTGTACGAGCGTGTGCTCTGGTGGCAATCGACACTGAAGAAATGGTTTGGATGGAGCTCGTCTAAGAAATCGCGCATCAATCTTACTCACTCTGTCACGGACCCCAACGGAGATCAAGTGTCTGCGAGAACTGTTGTGTTTGAGTGTCATCTATTATGGGAGGGAACAGTAGAGGACGCGCATATTAGCGCACACCGTGTGGTTATGAACATTGTGGTTGGTGTGCTTCGTCCACTACGCGAATATCTCATAGGACTTGATACTGTGCGGGTGTTTGTGACTTCTCGTCCGGAAGTGGTCCAGTGGATGTGTCTTAAGAGAATGAGCCAGTTATTTACCAAAGAAACCACCCCAAGACAGGAATTACCGCAGTTTTTCGGAGAGGCTACGGTTTTTGACGAGTTTGTGGGAGTACAAGTTTCGTCCCAAGTGAAGACGTTGCCTAATCTCTGGCTGGGCAGCTACTACGTGGACAACTCGAGGCCATTTTATAGCGAATCATTTCGGCCCAAAGGACTGGCCGGCATTGGTGCGGCATTTAGAGTGCAGACTTGAGGATGCTGACGAACAACGCTGGTCCTGGTTCAGAGGGCTAAAACTTACTATTGTCCCTGATGTGATAGTGCTGGCGCGTACGAGTCCTTCTGAGCAGGAATTATCTCCGAAAGTCCGGATGTTGAGATTGGGCCTGGCCGTTGCAACTCCCGTTGGATATTCTACCATTATCAAGGAATGCGAAAAGTTCGAGAATCTTTTGGCGAAATTTGACGACATGGAGGTATCAGCCGATTCGGTAACGAGCATACTCGTAATTTGTGCAACTGCGTTCACCGATGAAACGCCCGACGACGTGAGAAGCCAAGCATTTGAGGAGTTTGAGGTTCCTGTTGAGACCGGCTTTACGCATATAAGCCAAGTCCTGGTCCTGAATTTGACCACACCAGCGAGGAGAGCAGCGTTTTTCGGCTTTGATGACAATTCGATGCTGGCAAAAATAGTGGAGACGATGGTGGAGCGATCGAAAATAGTACCACTTTTTTGTGGTAGCTATTTTTTGCGGCTCCTCGGAGAAAAGCAACATGATACATTTAATAGTTTTTTTTAAAAGAGCGCGTAAGAAGAGAAATACTTGTCGGTTTATATGTTCGGGCAAGTTTATACCTCGAAGTACTATATTTTGCCTCAGTGTTGTCAAGAATGTTGCACACTACTTTTTTCTCCGTAATGCTGGATATCTGGAGTATGTGAGAGCTACACTAGGAGATATTAAACCTTGCGTTGTACCTGTATTTAATGATGGAGCGTGGTAGGTCCTGTAACGGGGGGGGGTCACGAAAAAAAATCAGCAACACTCACGTCCTCGTTCGCTTTGAAGGTCTAATTTTAATCATTAGTCCATACGAGAAGCAAGGAGCAAGTTTAAATGATCTATAAGAAAAACATTTGGCAGTAGTCTTCTGCTGACTATTATTCTATAATTGTAATCCAATTTTTTCTAGCTTTGCTTTGTATCACATGTTCGATTTGAGCACTTAACATGTAAAATAAAAATCGAAGGCGGGATCAGGCAGCATAAGCTCTGCTTATTCAGATAAAGAAAAAGTATTCTAGTTAGGCTCGCATGGTGTATTGATTGTTGTTTAACGAAGCGATGCACACTGGCAGAATATGTATGGCAACAGATAAGCTTTAAATAAAAAGCTACAACTCCATCGCATTTTTAAATGCGTAATTTTTGCTGGGAGTCTTATTTTTTACTGCTTGAGAAAGAACATTGAATGGTTCTAAAAAAACTTTCACAGTGTTCTGTCTTCGAGGCAAACAAAACGAGATGATTGCATCAGTGTGCACCCGGTAGTGTCTTGAATACGTATAGTTATAGTGAGGGAAAGCTCATGGTTTTCTTCTTTGCAGATGTCAAAAAGCGCTTTTGCAGGGCCTTGAGTTCTTCTACTTGTGCACGTAACTGAAAATTCTCGCGCTTCAACTCGACGTGGATGGCGAAAATCCCTGCTTCTGAGGCGTCTGCCTTGCGTTGTGCCACTTCATTTGCCAGCTGTTGTTGCAACCTAGCGGTATGGGATTGCAAAGTTCGATTTTCCGATTCTAGCTTAGCAAAGCGCTCCTCTGTGTCCTGCAATTGCGCAAGTAAGGTTTTCTGTTGCAGCTGTAACTTCGTCGATGAAGACAACGGTCGTTCTTTGGGTGATTTCGTCTCCAAGCTCTGACGTGCAGTAGTTAACTCCTCAGACATCGACTGCTGTTGTGTTTGAGTTGCAGCAAGTTGCGCTTGTAGAGCTCTAATCTGGTCTCGTTGGGACGCAGCTTCACTCGTTACGCGGGCAAAGTCCATTCGTACCTCGTTGAGTTGCGTCTCTGTTAACCGGCGCGCAGTATCAGCATTGACACAAGTCTGGCGACTTAGTTCTAGCTCGGCTTCAAGGTGTTGATTTGATTTCTCTTCTTCAATGAACGCTTCAGTATGTGGCTGGTTCTGTTTGGCTCGAATCGGACTAGCAGGTGGCAGAGTCTTTGTCGCCTCCGTGATAGTGGCCTCAAGCTGGACACGTTCCTCATTCCACGTTTGCCGCTCGTATTTGAGTCGATCTCGTGCTTCACGTAAAGCCACATCCATCGTTATCATGTCATTTTTCAGTTTGCTGGTTGTAGCGTTGAGTGTCTCTACAGCAAGGGCTTGTTCTGCCATCTTCGCTCTGGCAGCTTCTTCAACTTCTCTTAGTTTGCGTATATGCTCTTCCTTAAGGCGTTCAATTTCATCTTCTAGCTCAGAAGAAAGGTTTGATCGTGGCAATCCTTGGCCAAGGTGTAGTGTACCCTTTGGCAAAAAATGACAATTTGAGCAGATGTCGGCAACAAATTTGGCACTAAAATCGAACCTTTTGCAACTGTGACACTTGCTCACGCAACTCGACATTCTCATCGAGTGTCTTCTGCAGTAGTTCGAGCGTTCGCACATGCTTCGAGCGCAGCTTCTCGGACACATTATCTAAGATCATCATCTTGACGCTGTAGTGCCAAAAAAACAATAGTGAGCTGACAATTGATTTTGCTCCGGCCACCGAGCTATTTTCAGAGAGCTACGAAGTGCTTTCACAACATTAAACTACGTCTTTCATAGGTATTATTAATAATACTATATTTTAATCACTCGAGTTACTTTACTACACGGATGCACACTCTGCCTAATGTACAACCTTACTACTCTTCACTCTTTACTTGTTTGCATTCAACGACACGTGATCGACGCAGTAGTAGCCATATTTCTGATAGGAGCGGCGGGTACACCCCTCCAATTTGCATCTGTTGCCACCGCCATGAGCCCAGCACAGTCCTCCTTGCGTCGATACCTTCTCGCAGTTGGGTATCACGCAGATACGACCGCCACCGTGCGACCAGCAGTGGCCGTAGCGCTTAGACTTGCGTGTGCACCCCTCCGTCGCGCACGTCTTGAAGCCTCCGTGCTGGAAGCAGAGCTTGTACAGTTTGGCACGGTTCGGACAGCCCTCGATCTTGCAGCGCGAGCCTCCGCCGTGACGTACGCAACAGCCTCGAGACACCGCAATGTTCTTGCATCCTTCCACTTGACACGGTGGGTTGCGGTTCTTTCGGACGCGTTTCCGAGTCGTTTTCGCATTGGGTTTGGCCTTGTCATCCGCCAAAGTCTTTTCAACCGCAGCTTCTGGCTGATTAGCAGGTTCTTCGTCACTGGAGTCGCCACTACTACAGCTACTGGCACTGCTAGCCTCGCACAGGGCTGCTAACGATAGCTTCGGTACTACCGTCTTCATATTGACTTTCATCTTCTCCAACGGCGCAATGCACGAGCTCAAAAGTAGAAGTGAAGACGACGTCGTGGTGGCTTCGGGGCTCTGAGCTAGCGCCATTAAGCGCTGGAACGATGGAGGAGACGTAGGTGGCGTCAGCGTTTGTTGCTTCATGTCCTCCGATGACCGCGGGTTCAGCAGGAACGAGATGTCGGACTTAACGCTCATAGTTGCAACGAGGAATTTCACTTGAGCTCGAGAGTGCCAATTGAGTTATGATAAAGGCGTCAAAGGCGTCATTGTTAGAGAGGCCGAAAGGTGTCAAGCCACATTGGCACGCGCCTCTCCTGGATCGCGTTGATCCCGATGGTGCAACCACGCGCACCGGTCAACAAATCTGCCCAAGTCTTTCCTTTCTGACCGAATAACAGCCAGTAAAATCGTGCTAATTGTGGTGGTGACCGCTGGGCAGCACGCACGCCGCCAATCACAGGCTTTCGGTGGTTCATGGCACACGCCGGCACGAGGACGCGCTCTCTGTGTGGGACTCACACCATGATGGAAACGCTCTCAACTGCCGACGCCGATTGATCTAGCGAACCACCTCGAAGCTGCAGCGATGCCACTAGAGCCAGGCTCACTTCAACTTGCCATTTTCACAAGTCACACATAAATCTTATCATAGAGAATATGACCTATCATAGAGCAATTTCTCTCTAATTTACAAAAATTGCAAGCACCACTGACAGTAAATCAAAGCAATGGGCAAGAAGAGTAAGAAAGGAGCCGCCGAGGGCAAACCATCCTCATCCGGCGGCAGCAAGAAGGTGAATCAGAAGAACAAGACGCAAAAGGTTGCAGCTCTGCCAAAATCTCAACAGAAGCAGCAGCAAAACCATGGAAAAGGCAAGAACAAAGGCAAGCCTAAAGCTCTGACGCCGGCTGAGCGACTGGCTGAGATGCGTCGCAAGATCGATGGCGGCAAATTCCGCATGCTCAACGAGCAGCTCTATACAACCACGGGAGATGACGCCTACTCCACGTTCCAGGACGACCCGGAGCTCTTCGACGTGTATCATCAGGGCTTCCGCGAGATGGCGGACAAGTGGCCCACCAATCCACTGGACACCTTCATCGATTATGTGAAGTAAGTTACATGCCAGCTTTGAAGAGCTTAATTCATGGAGTTCCTGACGCTTATATGGATGCTGTAGACGCCATCCGAAGGCTGTGGTTGCTGATTTCGGCTGTGGAGATGCCAGATTGGCTGAAAGTGTGCCGAATAAAGTGCACTCGTTCGACTTGGTGTCCAGGAAACCAATTGTGACGGCGTGTAACATCGCCGATGTAAGTGCAACTAGGGTATTGAGTTGCTTGTTGATGGATACAGGACTGATAATTTCTCTTTACAGGTTCCGCTGAAGGATAGCAGCGTTGATATTGCCGTCTACTGCTTGGCACTGATGGGAACGAGTGTTCGCGAATACGTGCGTGAAGTGTACCGTGTGCTGAAGCCTGGTGGCGTGCTGAAAGTTGCTGAAGTGAAGAGCCGCTTCGAGAGCGAATCACTCGGAGGGATTGACGGCTTCGTGCAGACTTTGCGTAAAATGGGCTTTGACTGCAAACACAAGGACGAACGCAACAAGATGTTCGTGCTGTTCGAGCTTGTCAAATCCACACGCAAGCCTCAAAACGTGGCGCCGATCGAATTCAAGGCGTGCGAGTATAAACGGCGATAGAAACATTTCTTCAAGTTCGTGATAAATAGAAACGATACAGCTAATTCTACTGTGCCAGTTCTTGTAGCAGTGTCTGTGACTCTTCTGAGTCGGATTTATCGGCACTGTAATCCGTATCTGAGGCAATGAAGTCCTCAAGTTCGACGTCTGGTTGCGGGGGAAATGGCCACGTGCAGACCCATTTCTTGGGTTTAACGAAGGCGATATGGTCGATATCAACGCCGTGATTGGCTAATATGGAGCATAGTGCCAATACGTTTTCTAATCGAGGCTTGAAGTGGCCACTATGGGGCTCAACGGCAATAATGATACCATTCTTGATGATAATCTTGCCAGCTGCCAGGATTGGCGCACCTGACACGAAGCTCGAGTGGTGGAAGCGACCTTTGCGCTTACGGCCGAGGTACATGCGGCCTGAGAGGTCAATAACGAAAATCCACTTGCTGAGCTCGTCAGTGTTCACGATTCTTTCTGATGTTGCGTATTGTACTCGCACGATTTCGTCCTCTTTGTTTGATACGAACTTGAGTTCGTAGCTCTTGCGCTGCTCGGCATTGCAGTATTCCACTTTTGTCGTACGCAATTGCTGCTGAGTGCATTCGGGAAGATCCACGTTTTTGCCGTTCCCGTGATCGAGCCAGTGGAAAAATGATGCGTCTGAGCTGCTGTCTTCCTCCTCTGCCGTCTCGAGTTTCCAGGCTTTGTGGAAGGCTCGCAAGTGGAAGCCGTAGCGGTGCTGTTCGTCTAGCGCCTCGAGCCAGAAATCCTTGTGTAGCATGGAGGGGCGGCATGAGAGGTGTTCGCTCTCTCCGCTCATGTTGCGCAGTCTGCAGCGCTTCATGCCATGCGTCACTTGGCCCATGCGAGAGCGCAGTTGTTGCCAGCGGGCAGCTGCGTGGGGTGGAGTGCTCGCGCACGTCTTCTTCATGCACTGCACGAGCTCGATCGCGTCCGCTGTGGCGTCAGGTATTAAGTGCACGCCTCGGTCCACTTCGATTATCATGGTTAGAATTGGTAAGGTTGTGGTTGAAATGGAAAATGGAAAGTGAAAGTTGGCGATAGTTTGATTGACCTCCGTAGGTGCATTCTTCGCAAACAACGACAGGAGGGAAGATCCACTAGTTTTTTGCCATGTGCTGATACATCTGCGCAGTAAAATAGATGTCGCCCCAGCTGAAACTTGAAGGGTTCTTAAGATGTAGGAATGGTGTGGCAGCAACTTCAACTGAGACAGGTGGACAGAATATCCAGTGAGGGTGGGTGGTTTTAGAGCAAAATTCGCCGGATGCAGGACATGCAGGACGATGGAAAAGCCTCGTTTATATTCCAAGTAAGACCGAGCTCCCACTTGTCTCACTTCTGAAGAATTTGAAGAACGAGGGGGCATGCTCAGGGCTGATAGACGTAGCGATCGCAACCGACGGCGCCGGCGATGGCTCGCAATTGCCTTAGTGTTGCAGGAGGAGGAGGAAAGAAACCGTCGAACGCAGCAGTCTCGCTTAAGACTGGACTGGAATCTGGAGATGGAACGGCTCTTGTACGAGGGAGAGTTTAAACGTACGTACCGAATGTCGTCTGCCTCTTTTGAGCGACTGTGTGGCTTGCTCGTTGAGTTAGATCGCCCTGCACGCGCTTGGACGAATCGAAGTCCTGTAAGCGTGGAGAACAAGCTTCAGATGACGATCCGCTTCCTCTGTGGAGGCATGGTTGACGATTTACGGAGGGCTGGCGGTGTTGATCGATCCTACTGCTATCGAATAATCAAGGATGTGATGCGCGCAATTATCGGGGTTCCAGCGCTGCAAATATCATTTCCCACGGCTCCAACCGATCGAGAATCTGCAGCGGCTGCTTTTTCGGCTAGGAGCAACGAACAAGTCATGAATGGCTGCGTGGCCGCTATGGACGGATGGCTTTGTAATATTCAGGCACCATCCGATAATGATGCTGGCAGCGCAGCGGGGGCGCGCCGGTATTTCAGTGGCCACTACATGCGTCCCGGAATTAACGTACAGGCATGCTGTGATGCCTTCAGCCGCTTCGTCTTTGTGGAAGCATCACATCCCGGTGGAGTGAACGACTCGAGAGCTTACGATGACAGCGGGCTTCCTCGCGTGATTGAAACCTTGGAGCGGGGCTTGTACGTTGTTGCTGATGCTGCGTATACAGCCACGAACCACCTCTTGACACCATTTACAGCGCTTCAACCGGATGAGATATACAAGGACTCCTTTAACTATCATCTATCCCAGATCCGCATTCGCATCGAAATGGCATTCGGGTTGTTAGCTCGCAAATGGGGCATATTTCATCGCCCACTGCAACTTCGTTTGGCTACGGCTACGCTAGTGATCAAATGTGCAGCAACTCTACACAATTTCTGCATTAACGAGCGTCTGGAAGGTACGCGAGACCCAGTTTTTGAGGAGCTTCGCAAGATGCAACGCGATCAACGATGCTCTCTTAGGTCTTTGCTTACATTTGACCACGACGACACTATTGAAAGACCGACAACTAGCTTCGTTCGAGATGGATTAGTTGAAAAACTCCGTAGACGACACTTGCTACGAGCAAACTAGAACATTTGCATGTTCCCATCACTAACTTAGTTTTTATCCATCTCCGCCATCCAACGTTGAACGAGTCCATTGACCTTTTGCTCGAGCGTTTGCAACATTTCGTCACTGGCATTGCTCTCCTTGAGCATTTTCAATGTTGCTAAAGCACTTTGAACCGCAGTAGATGCCCTGGTTACTGAATTGTAGCCTGACGCTCGCTCCTCCAGCTCTTCTTTATGCTCGGACTCCAGCATGTTTACGATGCGATCGACTGGGCTAAGAAGACGGCGCTTCTTTCCACTGGAACTTCCGCTGCTTGACGATGAATCGACGTCACTCTCCACGGATCCAGGCAACGTGGACATTTGAGCCCTCTTTGCAATTCGACCTCTCACCCCTTCCAATTGATTCGGCCGCAGTTGAAGCCAATCGTGCAGATAGAGAAGGTCGATGCGACCCTGGCAATAACTGAAGAAATCCTGCTCGTTATGTCCCGAAAGTTTCGACTTACCACGAGCTACCGTGTAGCGTGCAGTAAGCTTCTTCCACATATCCAACAGCTTAGCGCTTGAGTGGTTGACGGCTTGTGAGGGCTGGATACCCTGATATTGTGGCCGCTCCTTCTGCTCCAAACCATTGTAATTCTCCCTGTCCTCGTTGTAAGCCCGAGCTACATCCAACCAATACTGGCTGTTTTCGTTGATGGAGTGCTTGTCGACGTTCGCTCTGTCTTGGTTTCGGTCCGCCTCAAACATGCGATCAACAAATTGGGGGCTAAACAAAACATTTATCAATCGAAAAGCATCATGCCGCTCCACGCGAGGCTCACGCTGCGACGTCTCCGGGTTATCTGCCTTAGTTTCTCCTTCCTTGCTAGGCCCTATGAGCGCGGAGAACTCCCCTTCCGCTTTATTCGAACGATACTTGCACAGTAGGTCGATGTAGCCGGCCTTGTTGTCCACGGCGGACGAGCGGCGTTGCGGGTTAAGCTTCAGCTTAACACACGCGGAGCGCAACTGCTTCGAGAGGTATGGCTCGAGAAGTGCACGCAAAGCCCCATCCTCGCCGTCTGCAGGGAACACATTGACGAGATCGATAATGACCTTGTCCATCCGCTTGAACTCTTGGAAGTCAGTTTGGAGACTGCGAAAATCGAGCCGCCTCGACGAGGCCCTCGTCCTGCCTGCGGGGAGATGTGCAGTCTGCAGGATGCCGAATGTTCCGGCATCCCACCTGTTTTAACAGGATGTCCCACTCCAGTTCCCGCCGGACGGCAGGACAAATCCGCGGCGCTGATTGGTGGAGAGGCCAAGATCCTGCTGGATCCGGCGGATCTAGCACTAAAACCACCCACCCTGATTGTAGACGCCGCAAAACGTGCCTTTTAGCGCTCGTCGACGACGCCGAGGAAACGGTTCAAAGGCAAATTGCACCAGCATATTGCTGCCAATAATGCACACAATGCATTGTTCAGCGCCAGAGCAGCGAGCACGCTGTTCGCACTCCAGACGAGGCCGCGGAAACTGTCACCATCCGGAGTATGCGAAGGTGTCAGCTCAATGCGGCCTGGCCAGCGGTCGTTGACTCGTCATGCATCACCGTCGATGTCGGTCGATGCGTGTGCAACGCACAATGCACAGTGCATGTACATGTATTGTCAATTCCGCCCCAATTTGCCGAAGCGGGACGATTCGGAGAAAGGCGCGAAGCGAACGGCGAATCGACGCTGCGTTGTTAGAGGTCAAAATTAAGAAAACCTTTTTTATTATCTAATAAGATACCAGAAACACGTTGAAGTTAAAGTGACAGCGCATCTCGCACTGAAGACTCCGCGCACTTGTCGTGAATGAAGATGGCGAGTCAGAGGATTATTCTGTATTAGCGCCAAAACGCATTCTGTATGCTAGGCTACACGATTATTGGGCTGGTCGTGTCTCTCAGACGCCCGCGGAAATTTCGAATAGAACGCACAATATCTGGTGCTGCCACAACGCTCACAATGTTGGATTTCTTAAAAGAAAATAAATCCTGCACGCGGTATTCGCTGTTCTCGCTGGTCGTAAGACCAGGAAAGACGTTATCGAAGTGGTCACATCAGCACCTCCGAGCAAATTCAAAGAAACGTTTCTTACCTTTGCTGTGACAGCTTCAATACCGGTAAACGCCATTTGCGATTAAGATGACGGCGAAAGCCGGGCTTGTAGTACAAGTTGTGCATCTGGCTACAAATAGGATGAGAATGTTTTGTTTTTCTTTTGTTCAAGAACAATTGCAATTATACACGTATGCATAACAAACACTGCCAGCTATACACCGTCGCCTGTGACGTCACCCCTCGCTCCAATCTTTCGCTTGTTTTGTATTTTTTGCGTTTTTTATCGCACTGCCCGCCGAGTCTATTGGTCGTCGAATTCAAAGATACCCGTGTCACCTGTATCCGACACATTGCCATACGATCCACGACGCTCCGACCGTCGTCTCTGATCTACTGGCATTTGCATGTCGTATCCCGGCATCCGATAGCGTTCGTCCCGGTTCGCTGGCTCCTCTCCTTCCTCTGACGTAATGCTGAGTCTTTCCAACAGTTCAGCACTCACCGCATTGCTTGACGACTCGTCGGACGCGTAGTATTGCCTTGACGGTTGTGTTTCTGCCGCGCCACGCGCGTTAAAAGACCTGTACGACGAGTCATTACCTGCTTGCTGTGAAGTTCCTTGGCCAGATGCATCCGTCTGCATCCTCTCTCTTAGTGCTGACATTGCAGCGAGCGCTGGACTCTTGGATAGATCAAAGTCGTCATGTTCAGCCAGATACGGATCCAGTGTGGGTGTCCAGGAGCCTCTTGCGGGATTTCTCCTTAAAAATCCAATATCTCCTGGACACGAACTAGCAAACTACGATAAAACCATTAGAATAATTTATAAAACCCAACGAAAATTGTGCTGCCTGTACCTGAATGACGGCTGGCACCCGAGCGGGCGGCGAGTCTTCCTCTATGGTCTCGGCAGGCGGTCCCAACGCCAGATCTGGCATATTATCCAGCTGAAGGAAGTTTGGCTCGGGCATGGAGCCTACTCGCGGCGCTCTGGGCGGCTGAAGCTCGCCGGATCTTGTGCCGCTTGTGTTCGTCATAAAGCGAGATAAGTGGACGTGGTGCATGTCGGCGGGAAGCGAGTGCGACACCATCGCGGCGCCGTTGGGGCTACGAGTCACAGGAGAGCCGCGCTGGCTTCCGCTGCTCCCGATAGGAATGGGCCGCGTTGAGGACATAGCTGCTTGTGTTGCACGTAGAGCTGGGAGCTAAGTGTCGTACCCCCTCGGTGTTGAGGCAATTGGATTGACTCATTTTGGCTTGGTGTTTGTATGCCTTACAATAAGGTTGTTAAAATACCGGTTTTTGCTATTTAGTCATTAGTCATTCTGTGTGTCATCAAATTTAAATTTGCATGAGAAAAATGCTACCAAATCTAATAAAAGAAGAAACAATTAAACAAGTATGCACCACGTCTCGTCGGAGCGGCGTCTGGACGTGCTGGATGGTTCGGATGTAGACCAGGATGACAACGCTGGTGTATATAGTCGCGTATCAACTCCTGACGGCCGTTTGGACGGACCAAACGCGTCGCAACGGCTTCGATCGTCGTCTTCTTCTTCGGAATCTTCTTCGCACAGTTCTTCCACGTCTTCTAGAGATGAGAATCAAGCTTCACGATCACCCAGTGGGGTTCAATTACTTTCTGCTCAAGGGTCAGCTTCATGGCAAGCTCATATGGACCCTCGTGTGGACTTAAAGCTGCTGAGTAACCATTTTCGAGACGAGAGGATGGAAATCTCTTATCAGCTTTATTCTTCCACAGTAGACTTCCCAGTGGCGCGGAGACTCATGTTGGCTCTTGTGGCCTTCGAAGGAGCGGCGTATTTCCTCTTTCGCAGGTTCAAAGACACGTGTATCGCGCCCTCAGGCAACGACTACGCCTGGGTGGATCTCCTCAGCTCTTTGCTAAATGAAGACCCTGTATCGGCCTTTAACCATACGGAGACAAGCTGTGTGTCATTTATTGAACCCATGTCTAAGGACGAAGGCCTCACGTGGCTATTGTGGATTTTTGCTCCTTTTGCAGTGATTTATGGCATGTTGCCTTTGAAATACTTTGAAGGAAGTATGAGGCTTCGGATCGGAGTGTATTATATCCGACGGCATTGGAAAGTTATTGCCTCTTTGATAATTTTGAGTTGGTCAGTGGGTCTGGCAGTATTTGTGCATCACGAACTCGTTGGGATGAGGAAAAACTTGGAGCAAAGTCTAGCAAATGGGATGGTTTGTGCATCCGATACAGTGATGCCTACGTCATGGTACGACACGTCCGAATGGGGGAAAATATCAGGAGTGGACGGCCAGATGACGTTGCTGTCGTGGCTGCAGCTGTATGATAGTAAACTGGCGTATTCCTTACTCATGGGTCTATTAGCGGTACTGGCCGCGTTTACCGGTATCGTCGCCGTGGCCATGAAGCTGGATTTCACCCACGTCTTACTACTAGCCGTAGCCGAGTGGATAACGACGTTGATGTTGTGTTTTTTGGGTGCCACGCCGTTGATTTCATCCAGCAGACGTGTCATGAGCAACGAGGCGTTCTTGTTCTTCCTATGCGTGTTTCTACCTACCTGTTTTACTCTGACGGCAACATATTCGGAAGATCGTGCGGCTCGTATGGCGTATGCCTCGAAAGTGCGTGCGGAACGTATCAACACGACGTTGAAGCTGGATTTATCGGTAAAACAGATTGGGTTGGAGAACCGTAACGCGATGACCCGAGACGAAAAGGAGGTGTTGGAGAGAGCATTGGGTGCATCAGGTGACATGGAACTGTTTATGACAGTTTCTATTCCATTTGCAGACTTGAAATTGAAGGAAATACTGGCTAAAACACCCAATGGAGAGGTGCTAGTGGGTGAATATCATCAGACGGACGTCGTGGTCAAGCGGTTGGCACAGTCGTGTTTAACCGCTGGGGGTCTGGCTGCATTTAAGAGCAAAGTGGAGTTGCTGGCATGTCTCCGACATCCGAATATTGTGCTGTTCATCGGCGCTACATTCGACAATTTGTCAAATGTTGGGCTCGTGATGGAATACCTTGAACGTGGCGATGTGTTGTCGTTGCTGCGTAGCCCCATCGCCTTGGCGTGGAGTGATCCGCTACTGAAGATCGCTACGGATGTGGCCCAAGGTGTGTCCTACCTGCACAACTGTGACCCGCCATTGGTGCATCGTGACCTCAAGTCTTCCAACTTGTTGTGTACACGCACGTATTCATGCAAAGTCTCGGATTTTGGCGAGTCAAAGAGGCAAATGTTGCCTGGAAAACTGTTCAGTACGATTGTAGGAACACCCTACTGGTTAGCGCCCGAGATTCTCCGTGAGGAACGGTATGATACACAAGTGGACTGCTATAGTTTTGGAGTGATCCTGGTGGAGCTCGAGACGCGACGTGAGCCCTACCATGACCTTCCAAAGGACTATACGACAATTGACATTATGATGGGAGTATCACGTGGTGACTTGCGCCCTATCGTCCCTCCATCGTGTTCACCATGTAGACGTGAACTTATTGTGCGCTGTTTGGATGCTGATCCGAAACGCCGTCCTAAGATGACGGAGATCCTCTACGCGCTGCAACATGAGGTGCGCCAAGAGCTGCTGGACCAGAATTCTACGGACGTCATTACCGATAAGCGCCGCATGGTTCTCATGCAGCAACACCAACGGCTCAATCGTCGAGGACTTCAAGATCTCTTGCGGACTCATAACGATACCTAGAATCCTTACTCTGATAACTTATCAGTGATAAGTAGCTTTGTGGTAGAACTGTAACCTGAATGCATTTGACGCTTCCAAGTTGAACACAACGTGTCGAATTGCGAGGTTTTTTTACTGTACAGTGAAGACACAGCATTGGCCTGTCCAAACTGGGCTCTTCCTGCTCTTCCTGACGATGGTCCGACTCGATGTTGCTGCAACGTGTCGTTGCTACATGTACAGTATTGTAGCGTCGGCATTACGGTTACTCCATGGAGCTCGTTGCTTCGCTGAGAAATGATAAGGTTGCTCAATTGCAAGCTACACTTAATGAAGGCTACGATCGTGTATCTCTTAGCTAACTTGGCTGCAGTGTAATGAAATTCGTAGTATGTTCCGGAATCTGGCTCGGAATCTGTGGGCAGCTTTTTAAGCGGCAACTTTTTCTACTTGGATTCAAACTTGCATGAATGGAATTTGCGTGTTTGTTTGCTTAAAACTGCATGCAACTACCAATTGGTTGCACGCCAATTACGTGGTCTCGACAAAACGCTTACTACTAACTGCCGGCCTCCGTCTGGGTCGGTGAATAATTTAAATACGCCGCATACGCTCGCCACCCTTCGCGACAATTTGAACACAAGCGCTGATGTAGAGGGTGGCAACGAGAACAGTCGAAAAAATCGGGCGCTGGGCGTGACCGTCGTCACACATCTACTACGCTAGGTACCGCGAGTCACGGTGGGTTGAATGGCAACAGTTGCCAAATTACTCGAACGCACCGCTCAGCGCCTCCATCCACAGATGCATTTCGTCCTGCGACCTTGCCTTGCACATGAGCGTCTTGGTAATTTTACCAGCGCACGTCGAGACGGAAAACTCGCAAGTGATTTCACTGATCTTCTCTGCGTGGGTCACATACGCGCGACTGAGGGGCACAGCCCACGCGTCCTCCGTATCGTAAACCGTAAACATGTTGCCCTGCATGACGCAGAAACGCGCTCGCTTGGACTTGCGGTCGCCCACTTCGAGCCATCCGCTCTTGTCCACGATGTTGCATTGCAAGTCCAGCTCGGAATCCGAATAGCCCACTGAAAGCGTCGACGACGCGGTGCTAGTGGTGCTGGTGTTCAGCGACTCCTGACGTTTAGCCAGAGCCGCCGCCTCGTTCAATCGGTCCACCCACTGTCGACACAACGTCTCGTTTTTGGCGCGGACGTCAATGATCTTGCCACTCACGGCATACACTTTGAAGGCAATCTTGGATTTCTGCGAAGTTTCTACGTGTGCAACACGCACGGCACCGGCGGGGGTGGACTCGCTTTTCGTCGTGAAAAGATTGTCACCTTGGATCGGCATTAAGGACGATTCCGACACGAACTGGTCCGTGGGGAACGTGTCGTAATACGTGAGTAGAGCGCCGTCAAGCACAAAGTGTTGGTTGCGCCACTTGGAGAAGCGACCGGATTTCTTCCAGAGCCATCCGTGGAACTTCTCGCCCGCCGTCTTACGGCCGAAATGCATGGCCGAGCCCTGCGTACTCTGAACCAGCATCTCAATGTCCACGTTGAGTCCCGAAATGTTTAAGCCGCTGCCGCTGCGTCCACCTGCGCGGCGGGACGAATTGCTGCGGTGATTCATGTCACTGTCTCGACTCGATCTGGTATCGGCCGCGTTGGGGAGCCTGTGAGTGTAGTAGTACCTGTGTTACTGCAAATGCTCGAAGCGGTTTCTTCCGACTGAGCAATTCGCTGAGCGTTCCTCGACTTCTTGTGCGCTCCGCGGCCTCTGCCAAACTGTGCAATCGTCGGATGCTGCTCCACTTGCCGTAGAAGTCAGTTCACCAACTGGCTTTGGCCTGCTCTCTTGCCACCAGTTTTTGCAATTTGCGCACCGCGAAACTAGTTAAAAAAAGGGTGTTCGCCAATCGGAGCCCGAGCGTTTTGTTTCACAAAAGTATGGCAAAGTCTCTGCTTGGGCTTTTGGTCTCGAGCAATTCAAGCAACGGCAACAAGCAAACTTGCTTCGTCTGTCTGGTGGCGTTGTTTGCTGCTTCTGGTCTTGGGCTTGCGACACTGAACCCACAAATTTGTGATTCGGATCGCGTAACTACGGCTGGTTCGTGGCCACCGTCTGCAGGGGAGTTGGCCATCGACGCTGGGTCGGTGCCATCGTTACCAGCACAAACCACCGTGTCGGCGCTCACTGCCCAAAGTGCTGCTGCCTTTGGTGCATCCAGCTGGGACAGCCGATGTCACTCGGGAAGAACGGCCCTATACAAAGCACGTAGGCGCGAGTAACGAGTCGACGCACTCGGCGTATTTTCCCTGGGTCGGGAAGTCCTCGCGATGGCGATTTCTCTGGGGTTAATCAAACACAGTAAAAAGTCCCGTGCACAGTAAAAGAGAGTCGGACGCGTGAGGACGGACTTCCTGCGCAGAGACCATAGGCGTGGACCGATCGTCTCCTTAGGAGACGATCGGTCCCAGTCTGTAGGGAGAGGAGACTCTCCTACAGACTGGGATCGGTCACGCCCTCTCCGGTTGGCCCAACCGTTGGGAACGGACCTGGATTGGCGATTCTTGGAGGTTACATCGCCTGGTGGAATGAAATGCTGCGCGTAAGTAGCAAAACGCTTCGACTGTAGCCATCCGAACATCTTCCTACATGTCTACACATGACTTGCAACAGCGTTCGTTGCAAGTTGTTCGTTCATTTACATTTTGTATTGACGTGCCACACCCATTTTATTTCCCTTTCGGAATATTTCACAATTATTTTTAACTCAAAATATAATAGTGGTATTGGACCAAAAAAAAACATCCTCACTTCTGATTACCTTATGTAGCCATTTCGATTAAGTTCTTTTAACTTCAGGAACAGGTTCAACAGGTGTCAAGATTGACTCACCTCGATCCTCACAAGAATAGCAAAGTCTCCAACTCCACATACTCACTCCACGTGGCGTGTTACTTCCAAGTGAGCTCGACCGCAACCGCGTCAGCTCCGAGATACCACGTGGAGTGTCACCTGGGAGGACCATGGTGAGGCAGCGGCGCGGGGTTTTGGGCAGCACAAACCTGCCAGCGCTCAGCCACAATTCGAACGCTCGCGTCGATGTAAATCATCTGTCTCGACATCCGATCCAAAGAGACACACAAACCATGGCAAGTCAGAACACGAAAGTGGTTGGGCGAGTTGACAATGATGCGATGGACAGACGCCACCTCAAACGCGAGAAGTTCAAGTTGCCTTCGATATCTTCGAGCGCAACCGATGGAACGGCAATTCTACAGTAACGGGACAGTGCAGAACCAAACGCAAACTCTCGCCACGAGTGGCTCAGCTCGATGAACACGAACAGGCAAAGGTAAGCTGCTCGATTTGCTCTTGAGAAGAAGACGTCGACTGACTTAAGTGCTGTCCGTCGACGCTGGTAAGCACAAACTCGCGGCTTCAATTGACTCTTTTGAATTCACATCTAAATGTTACAAAAATGAACATTGGTATTCCAGTCCGATTGGGTTCGGATCCAGGAGATCCGTGCTACTAGCAGCGCTAAATTCGCGGGATCCGGGAGGATCCGGATTCATCACTTGCAAGCAACTTGTCGAAGGGTTGCAAACACCCAACTTTGGGCTTGATGAAAGACTAGCGCGTGCGTTGGTAACTGAGTTTGACGATCAGATGATGCTAAGGTGCCTTATCGAAGCTTCGTTAAGCACCTTCAACTATCTGAAGAACGGCCCAGCCAAGCTGGACAAGATCCAACAATTTTTTTATCAAGAGAGCTACGTTAACCGCGTCCGAACACACGCTGCGCAACTTATTGAAAAGGTAGCAGTCGTGCCCTTGGAGCCAGCTAGCCAATCAACAGAAGTACCCGTGGTACTTGCCAATATTGCCCAGAGTAGAGGCAAAACAGTCGAGCAATGCAACGGTGCGTATCTCGTTGCAAGGTCTGATGCCAGCTATCTGGGTTAGCTGAAGCGTCTATTCTCTTAGACGTAGATCGGCTGTCTTTTGAGTTTGACAAGGTCCGCGAGCAACGGCGAGCGGAAGCCAAGTTTGACAACTTTTTGTTGATTTTCAGTAAACAGGATCGACGTAAAACATGGAGTCTGCGCTGGCATTTTTCTGCATCTTGGCAATCGGAGAACCGAGCATCCCCTTTGGTCGACGTTGCGCAATGCGCACTCCTGCAGCATTACCCACAGGGTGATGTCAGCAACCAAGAATCAAATTTAATCAGCCCATTTGGTTGTGTTCAAACTCACCTCTTCAAAAGCTTGCTCGAAGTGGGCATGGCGATGCAACGCCTTCACAGCTAGACGCATTGATTCGTGCTCCTCAATGAGCTTCTGTTGGTGCTGAGAGAACGTCTCTATCCTATCGATATGAGCTAATAAGATCCTCGTCTACTCGATCCTAAACACCTTAAAATAAACGGCACCAGGTTTTATCACTCAGGTATTGTCCAGGTATACCGGCAGGTATTGTCCAGATAGAGTTTTTACGGTTTAACCCCCCAAACCCGAGAGCCTGTATGAGACACGATTCCGCGAAAAGCTTAACGTGTCTAAGACACGTTAAGCTTTTATACATGACGTTGGTATAGGACCATACAAATTGTCGGTCAAGAAGGGGTAGGCATATTTCCCATCTTCCCGCACAGCAGTACATAGCTATGCGTGTGCCTTGAACTTGGTTTTTCTAGAAAATTAGAAGACACAGGTTTGATGGGTGTCACACAAATCAGCATAGAGGATTGCAGGTGGAATTCTGCGCCACCCATATCTCGGTCATTCGAAAATTTTCACCGCTGCCGCTCAGATGTCCGGGTTCAGAGGCCGATGGCGAGAGCTTCTGAAGGAAGGATGGAAATCAAAGGCCCCTACGGGCCTGTCAAACGACTACACGTACTTTATGCCGGGGAAGACGAAGAAGGACGTACGTGGCGTGGACTTTTTCGTTGGAGAGGCTGCGTTGATGGCATATTTGGACCGTATCGCCTTGGGTAAGTAGTATCGCCTTTCAAGGTCTTTGTGTGGACTTTAACACGTGTGCTTTGCTAGAGGAGATGAAGAAAGCTACCGCGGCGAAGCAACAAGCAAAAGCAGCAGCGACTCAGCCTACTCCGGAAAGTGGACAGCCTGAAACCGATGTGCCTGATAGACAAGATGGTGCGTTTGATCTTATTGTGTATGTACATGTTATGACTCTAACGCTACCGTGTATATAGTTGCTGACCGAACTGTCAGTCCAGATCCAGACACGACGAAGACTGTTTGTCCGAACATTCAGGCTACCTCTCCACACCTGGCAGAGAGTGATTTGGGCAATTCAGTTGGTGATGAAAACGGTAAGCAGGTCGAATACATTGCTTGTACCTGTGAGCTACTGCTAACGCTAACACACCACTCCCTTATAGGTACAGACGAGTATCCCAATTGTAGTTTACATGCTGAATTCGATGCTGCTGCTACATCTGGCTCAGAGTATGCCTGCTCTGAGCCTGATAGCGACGGAGAAAGCACGATGCCAGGTGAAGAAGGGCAACCGGCCGCCATACCACCTGAAGAAGTGCAACCAAGCGTCAGCGTTGCATATTGAATCAGAACGATGATGGGTAAGCTTATGGTGTATATACACGTTAAGGGTACACGTTATGGATTCTTATAGTGTATGTGGATGTAGATGACCCAAACATTATCGCGCCTATAGATAATCCAGCAGATTTTGCAGCACTGGATTCCGATGGTGACAATGAGAATATGTCCATTTACGATGATGATGAGGACTTAGGCCTCGAAGAAGCCGACGCCGTCGTGGAGGATTCAGCTGCTACTCCTGACTTACTTTTCGAGCCATCTCTACTTGAATCAGTTGGCGGAGTTGGAGCACTTGCGCGCGGTAGTGTACACAAGGATGTTCTAAAAGACATGAAGCTCAATGGATGGAATGGACCTGATACCCAATGCCTTTTCCCTACATGGACGAGCCGTACGAGACTCGGACTGATGCATGGCTTACGGAGGACTATCCCAATATTTACAGCGGGGATCACGGGCCTACTGAAGAAGCCCTTTCCGCTGCTTCGACCGCGTTGGGGTCATTCTTCTTGTTTGCACCTCCCCATCTTTGGGAAGACATTGCCGGAGCTAGTGACGACTATTTCCTTCACAATTTGGATAAGCGTGTTGGCGCTCAGCGTGCAAAGCAACAAGCCCGCCACCGGAAGGACAACAATTTTGAAGTGAAATCGCAAGAACAAATCAAGGAGAATTTATTGGCAACACCTGACATATCTGGAAGAGAGTTTTGTATTTTTATTGGCCTACTCATTGCCAGAACAATTGCGCCGAACAAGGAGAAATTTGACCACCACTGGAAGACTACCGACGAAGGCGCAATTCCGCGTGGGTGCTTCGGCCATTATATGAAGCGAGATCGGTTTGCTCATCTTTCCCGCAACATGCATTTCAGTCGCAATGATGCTCCTGAGGCAGCGACGGACCGCGCGTGGAAGCTGCGGCCAGTAATCATCGTACTGCAACATACTTTCCAGCGCAGCTTTGCACCGCCACCGGTCATGGCGTTTGATGAAGCGATGCTTCCTTCAAGATCGGCTTTCAATCGCATGAGAGTGTACATGAAAGATAAGCCTCACAAATGGGGGGACTAAGCTCTTCATGCTGTGCTGTTCTGAGACGGCTTATTGCATCCGGTACGTTTGTGACGCGCCTTCGGGCGCGTTTTTTTTTGGCTATAAAGTTGTCTTAACGTGTCTGCTACATGCTAACGATTTCTTTACCGTGTCTGATACAGTTTCGAGGTTTACTGTGGTAAACGCCAAATGCAAGACGACAGCACTCCACCTGACGAGAAATCCGGCCCTGCTGCAGTGGTGCGAAATCTCCAGCATGTATTTGGCCCCACTGGACCCTCCGACTTTCGACTGGTTGTAACATATCGGTTTTACACCTCCGTGGTGCTTGCAATGCAACTGCTTACGATGTCTTTCTACATCGTTGGAACGATTATGATGAACAAGCAAGGCTTGTGCGAGGCCATTCTACCAGCAAAGCAGAAGAATGGCCGACGAGCGTCGAACAAGCGGCCAGCACATATCGAAAGAGGGACGTACGAAGTGGCGACATCCGTTCATGTTCCTGCAATGAAAGCAATCCGGTGGTACGACAAGCAAGGGGTGCACGTATTAGCAACTGGTGGAAGTGCGCAACAGGACAGAATTGTCCGACGAGACCCTTTTACGGCTTCGTAAGCGGAAGTAATGGCACCAAGAGTGGTAAAAGATTACCAGACCTTTATGGGCGGCGTGGATGTGCATGACCAGTTGCGTCTTCAAAGGTAAGTTGTCTTATCGTGTATAGACAGCTTTACCATTTCCGCTAATCGTGTCTGTTACATGCACCCCGTAGATACTCGTTGCAGTTGGCAAGACGCTACAGAAAGTATTACAAATCGCTGTTCCTAGGCCTTATTGATCTGGCAATTATCAATGCATTTATTGTCTTCAATTGCCGGCGGGTTAGAGATGGTGAACGAAAGCTATCACACGTGCAATATCTCAAACAGCTTCACCTAGAGTTGTGCCAGCTTCAACCTGAAGACTGGCAGCAGCTGCTACGCCGCCGACGGCTCCAGGCGACACCGACAAAAGCTCGAGAAGTCGCCAGACATGTGCCTGTTCAGACCGACGAGTGGCGTAAAGGGAGCGCCACACAAGCTCGAAAACGCCGTCAGCGCGCCTGTAAAGTGTGCTCAGTGCTCAAAGCCGATGGAGAGTTGCGTGGGGGTGAGACTACCTTCTTTTGCGGTGAATGCAGGCTGAAACCGTCTTCTAAAAATGCTCTAGCAGATCGGGTCTTCCTTTGCAACAAAGTGAAGCACTCCGTGAACGGTGTTCCAGCATCGTGCTTCGAGATCTGGCATAAACATTGGAAGAACGGCACATTGATCCCTCAGACACGGAACAAACGCAAGATTCGTGCCCGTAAGCCGAAGATACCTACCGATGAGACTGCAGGTGATGCTGAGAACTCCGAGAAGTCGGGCGGTGAATCTGGAAGTGACGGATCATCACGCCAGAAGCGATCCCGCAGAAGTGATGACGTAGTTTAGGCAGGCTCCGGCTCTGATTTTTGACTTGCATTAAATATACTGCACAGTTCACGTATTCCCAGCTGGTTTGTTTTTTCTAAATATCGACAAATAAATCAGGCTTGTACTGTATCGTCTTTGCGTACAGAAGACACAATAATAGATATACCATGTATTAGGAAGACACTTTAGGCGGGGAAGACACGATACCAAAGTTTGGGGTTGGGGGTATGGACCGGCTTTAGTACAGACACGTTAAAATATATATGGAGTATAATATAGGTGACCATCTTGCGGATAAACCTTAACGTGTGTAGGTATGTGTGAGATGGTGAGCACCAAATGGCCTCGGGCTTGGGGAGTTAAATTACTCTCATTTTCTTCTTTTGATTCCTAGCCACCAGTTAGGGAGACACGTGGCAGCCCCCCCCCCCTCCCACGCACCGAGGATAGCACGCACGCACAAGACTGCCCAGATCAAGGCGAAGATGGCAGAGCAAGAGCGTGTGGCCGAGGAAGCTCATCAGGCTAACCTCGCTCTCTTGCGTGCGGCGCGTACGCGCTTAGAGAGAGCACACGCCAGAGAAATCATGGAGACATCTCGCCCTAGTCCAACTGAAGTAGCAGAGGACAGCAATGCTCAAGAGCGAGTGGAGGAGGCAACAGAAGACGTCTCAGATGAAGGAGGAGATGGTGAGGAAGGGCAGGGAGGTGTGGACACGTCGAGTGAAGCAAAGAAGACTACGGGCGATGAAGAGGACGATTCGGTGGAAGATGAAGAGGATGCAGAGGAGGAGAAGGTCGCTTCGGGCGAAGGGGAAGAGGGTGAACTGGAAGAAGATGAAGTGGAGACGGAACCAACGAGAAAGCGTCGTCAAGGAAAGCAAAGAACCGTCTCCGATGTCAAAGAAGAAGAGCTGGTTCAGGTCCCTGTATTTAAGGCGCATCATGATTCGTGGGCCTCGCTGGAGCAGTCTCTCAAGGAATACATGGAGGCGACGCGCCAAAAAAACGTGGTGAAAGAGGTGATCAATGTAGCCCGCAGGAATGCTGATCTTCGGCGCCAAGTGAGGTACCAAGGGCTTCCTGACTCAGAGTTGCCTCTCGTCCCTGCAGAGATGGAACCTTATCAGCGCAAGTTTATCTGTACGCATCGGTGGTCCGAGCGTGACAGATCAACGGGAAAGCGGACGTCACACAAGCTGAGTACTACCGATTGTCCGTTTCAGATGCTGGCTCAAGCTACCAAGCGTAGTGACGGTCAATGGGGCGTTGTGATGAAGCGTGAAGTGTACGCCCATAATCATCGTGTCTCCGAAGACATTTACAGGTCTTATCCAGGTATTCGCCAGGTTCCGGCGGACTCACCTTTGATGTCAGGTATTGAGCTGCTGGTTGAATCTGAAGCCGGGACAACAAACGTGTACAACTACATTCGAGAGAACTCAAAGCACCGAGTCTCCATGGATGATGTGCACAATCTACTTCGCCGGCTGCGTAAGCAAGGTAAATGTTTGGTTTGATTACATGTCTTGTCTTCTTGTTCCCCTCTAACTTGATGCATTCGCAGGTGTGGAGTTGTCTGATAACGATGCCGTGGCTGAGATGATTATGGACTTCAACAGAGAGTCATCGGCAAATGTTTCTTCGGTGCACGAAAGTGCACGTGGTGTCTACTCTATGGATGATCCTGCCTGGAGTTCGCGAAGTTGGGTCTTTCCTTACTACCTTTCCAGTCAACAAGAATGGTGAGGGAAGGTCAATTCAGTGGCGCGTCGACGGAGATTACGTGCCAGATTGAGTGCGATTCCGGCTAGTCGAATCGCTTGTTGATGATGCGTTGGATAAGTTGAGGGGCGGATTGGCGCTAGATGAAGAAATTGAGTTGGACAGTGACGGTGAGCGAATGGGCAGCATTGAGAGTTACGTGGTGTCAATTGAAAAAGTTGGTCAGTTCACCAGAGAGCAACTGGAAGCTATGAAATCCTTGTGGGGGCTACAAGATACTTGTCTCAATGCTGTTCTTTGCTGTACCTGGTTAAATAGCACTGTTAAACCCGCGGTCAGTGACCCCGCTTCAGCGGGTATTATAATGGGAAAGATACTGGAGTGTTGGCCGTATACACCGCTGGTTGGGTTCGGATTCGACCTGACGTACAACAATCTCTTTTGCTTTCAAGATTCCGCTTGGCTAAACGATAATGCCATGCGTGCTTTTGCGGTTTGTCTCGCACGGTACAAGAACAATTGTACAGTCGTCATTCCGCCTCCCAAAAAAGCCAAAGATGCCAAGAATGTAACCCAACCAAAGGCCACCAAAAGTCGTATCTCTACAAGCACGCTCGACAAAGTTGGTGAAAGTGTTGCCTCGCACCAATTCGTGCTTCTTCCTATCAATTTTGGTGGCACGCATTGGGGATGCCTCGTGGTTGACCGAGACACCAATGTTATCAAGATGTACGACAGCATGGGCGGTAAGAGAAACAAGAAACGGTTGCAGAAGATGGCTGAAGAAATCCGTACTGGGCCTCTACGTGACGATTCCTACGAAGCTTTGGAAGTAACCGAGCCGATGCAAACGGACAGTGACAGTTGCGGTGTGTTTGTGTGCCGGTTTTTCTGGACTTGCGTGAGCAGCGAATCCCCCAGCGATGTGTCCCCAGCTGGTATTACGAAGCTGAGGTGGGAGATGCTGCACGCAGTCATGAAGTTGAGGCCGCGCTAGGTATTCGTGCATATCCGTCAGTGCAACATGCATGCAAACACTAACGATTTTGATACATGGTCAATTCTTGGGCAAAACCTGGACAATGACTGTATGGTGCAGAAGTCGATAATGGTGCATTCGTGGTACGCCACCATGAGCGTGAACGCCGACACACCGCAGCGGCCATCACTCTAGAATTTTTTGAAGTAGCGCACACATGAGTATCCCAGGTTTTAAAACCTGTAAAATACCTGGGTAAACGGTGAAGAAAACGATTGGTTGCGGTGAGCTCCGACGTCGACTGCCTACGATCATTTCCACTTTAGCCTAAGTCGTGCACACATGAGTATCCCAGGTTCTATACCTGGAAAATACCTGATTTGGGCATTTAAGCTCCCGAATGTAAATTACCAAATCTAATTCCGTTCTCTATAAGGAAACCTGGGCGAAACCTGGCCCCCTAGCTGGACTATCCATGGAGAATCAGATTTCTGAGTATTTTTTCAATCTGGAAAACCTGGACGCTAAGGTCGTCCTAAAATAAATCAAGAATTCTAAGCAGCGATTTATAAGCTTTCGCCACCTTTTTATTTTTTAAGCATACCGTGAGATGTGGGATTCAAAAACATTATAAAAAGTCAGTAAATTATCTTTGAAACTATTTTCTTATAAATGATAGCTAAACTTTTTGTATGTGAATGCTGCCGGGGCGTAGCGCCGCTGCAAATTATAGGAACGCATATCATACTGCTAGAAGGCAATGAGCGTGCAGAGGAAGTAGAAAGACTGCCTTGAGCACAAGGAAGTTAGTTTTGACATGATTAAAATTAAATGTACCACGCCATGGCATCATTCGCTTCTTGTCCTCCAGCTCTGTGGAACTTGCAGCTCTCTGGACAGCGTACTTAATGCTCTCGCTGTAACCATCGTACCCATTGTGTTCGGCGTCATTCACCAACAGGATCAGCGGTAGCAGCAAGCGTGACTTCTAAAACTCCTCCCAACACGTTGTGGTGGATCCGCTGTTCTAGTTTTCGCTCGCGCCGATCTGATCTTTGGTCGTACCCGTGTCGAAAGTATACCTCTTGTACAGATCGCGTAGCATCATTGCGGCAAACAGTTAGGTCAGCAAGTCCGTTGCCATCTCGCCCGTCGGCACGTACTTCGGCACAATAATGGCCTTCAGAGACAAGTCCTTGATAAACCTCTACTTAGTATCAATGTGATTTGTTTTGCAGGATCTGGACTTGTTTAATAGCCGCTTGGTTGAACAGGTTTGTTCCAAGACGAGGATGTCAGGCTTATTAAAGAGCTTAAACAGCCCAAGTAGTTCTCGTGCAGCATGAGCCGCAGCAACAAACTCTGATTGCATGGCCGAAAGAGCCACGGCCGGCTGTTTCTTGCAGATCCAGCCCAGTCGGCGTTGTTGTAGCTATCCAGCAGCAGCGCATTGTATGCTGATCCGGTACACCGGCAAGTCGCATCAGCGCACTTTTCGTATCAGGTGATTCGATTGGAAATAATACATTCGCTTTTGGCCGGCGCATGCGTGTGTCGCATCGACTTGTGCGCTGCTTACGCGATGTCAGGGGTAGTGGTGTGAAGGTTCAGGCGCTGAACCTTTGTGAACCTCCCGTTACCTCTGCATCCGGAGGTACCCCTGAAAGGTATCTGAATCCCTTCAAACCTACTTCAACTACCTTCTACATCCTCAATGGTACATCGGCGTTAAACTATGCACATACTATATTCAAGTGTTTTGTTCAAGCTGTGTGTTATCTGAGAAGGCGATCATCATTTTCCGATACCTATGGAGGCACAGCAGCACTCGCGGCGCGAGTCGCGCGGCCATCACACGCCACGTCCTCTCCGTACGCCAGCGCCTCGGCGTGTGCTTTCTTACGATGACGAAGTGCCTACTGCAGTGCCAGCTTCCGTCTCGGCTCAACCATCGAGGTCGTTCTCTCGACAATCGCACCAGTCCCAGCAACAACTCTCGCTGCAAACGCGGCCACAGCAGCTCTGGCAAGCGCAACCTCTCCATCTCTGGCAAGCACACCAGCCACAGGTGCAGGAGCGGCTCACCCAGCATCCACAGCAATTCTGGCAAGACCGACAGTCACAGACGCAGCACTGGCAGCATCAGACACAGGAACAATTCTGGCAATACCAGTCGCCACAGCAACCCCAGCACCCATGCATCCGCCCTCCTGTTCTCGAAAACGAAGGTGCCGTCATTGACGTCCAGGTACTGCAACAGCGTGCTGAAAGTGAATCGGGATTAGTGCTCTTTACTACGAAGCGTCAGAAGAGGAGAGATGTTTGGCATTTCGCTCGGCTCATTCGAAGCGAGGCGTGCAGACAAATTGAGCGTAATGATTTGAATAACGATCATGCCGAGCTCGCGTATTGTTTACTTTGCAGTGCAAAAGTTAAGTTTCGTGTTGGTCAGTCGAAGTTGCCGCAGCATATGGAAATCTACCATTCTGAAGAGCTAAAGGTGTACAACACCAAAGCGGAGCAGCGAAATCAGAGCACAGGCCAAGCTCCTCTTCATAATGGAAAAAGGCAGCTGCGTACCATTTCAGCGGAGCAACAGAAACGCGTAAATCTTCTTCTTGCTGAGTGGATCGCACGGCACTTTCGGCCGATGAAGATTGTGGAAGATGCTGGATTTGTCGTATTTATTCGATACATTACCGAAGATATTTGTGGAATCAAAATAAGGCTTCCTGAGCGAACTAAGATCGCACAACAAATAGTGTCTTTGGCTGTGGAGTATCGAAAACGAGTACGACATGCCATTGTGAAGGGATGTTGGTATTTTTCAATGACCTGTGATATTTGGATTTCCAGCAACACGAAAAGCTACATTTCGTTGACTATACATTACGTGGACGATGAATTTTGCCCTCAGAATTGGACTCTGGAAGTTAAAGAGCTGGCCGGCATTCATGATGGAAACGCCATTGCAGACGCGATTGAACAAATTATGGAGGAATGGCAGTTGTCTAAGCTCTACTGTGTCCGGTTTTTGAGAGATGGAGGCACAAACATGGTTGCTGCTGGTGAACTATTACATGTCGAGCACATGTCATGCCTAGCACACTGCCTGCACCTAGTCGTTGGAGGGGCAATGATTAAGAAGAAACGGGCGAGTGGTGTCGCCGATGAGCCAGATTGGGCTGCTGAAGTTGCTGCCGAAAGCAGTGAACCAGTTGTGGAACATGAGGAAGAAGCTTCACTGACTGTGGATGACAGGAACCAAATCGAGGGGTTCCGCGAAGTTGCAATCGATGACGTGGAGCAGTTCTTAAACGACACAATTGAGTTGGTTCACCGTAATGAGATGGATAGGGTACGTGAAATTGTTCAGCGCTTCCGGACGCTTGCTGTGTACTTTAGAAAGTCAGCAAAGGGCTGTAACCGATTAAATGCTCTTCAAATTGAACATTTCAGCGTCAAAGATCACGAAGTTAAGAAGCCTATTGTCGACTGCGCCACAAGATGGAATAGTTGCTGGCAAATGCTCCAAAGAATGATAGAGTTGGAAGGAGCTCTAGTGAAGTTTTTCACGTACCTGAAAAATCCTGAAGGTATCCGAGAGTTCAAAGATGTGGCAAGAAAATTATATCGTCCAACTGCCGAGGAATGGCTCACTATAAAGTGCTTGCGAGCTCTGCTGGGGCCGTTTGCCGTTGCCTCAGAAACACTAGGTGGACAAACTTATCCTACGATGCCGCTGGTTCTCCCTGTGTTATCCGGTATTCGAAAGCATTTGGAGAAGACGGATCTCTTTGCCAGTCTTGCGGCAGAAGCCGGTGACGAAGCGTACGTGGCTCAAACGGTGTTAATGGTGAACGACTGCAGAAAGGGAATGCTAACATTGTACGTTAAAAGATTCGAGGACTTGGAGAAAAGCGAGCTTAGGTGGGTTGCGTACTTGGATCCGCGTGTAGGAAAGTGGATGTCTCACTTAAGTCCTATCGACAAGCCAAATGCAAGCAACGAACTTGTACAGGCAATGGTGCAGCTGGCAAACGAAACGCTACCACCTGAACGAACGGATCCCCGTCACCAAACACCCATCGAAGAAGCGGAGCAGCAGCAACGGAATGACATGATCCATCATCTCTTCGGGCCGAATATTTCTCGAATCGCAGCCACAGATTTAGAAACAGAGTGCAAAAGGGAGTTCACTCGCTATTTAGAGTGCATTGTTACCGTGAAAATGACCTGAATCCCTTCACGTGGTGGAAGGCGAATGGAGATGACTACCCCAACTTGCGCAGACTAGCGAGGAAGTGGCTGGGGACCGTGGCGACAAGCGTTCCGTCAGAACGTGCTTTTTCGACAAGTGGAAACGTCATAACGGTGAAGAGAAGCTCGCTGAAGGCTACCATGGTCCGAGATCTTGTTTTCATTGCAGAAAATTGGAAGTGTATCGATCGCCTTAAGTGTGGAGGGTATAGTGAGTAAAAATCTTATGATATTTAATATAGGATATTAGCAAACAATCGCGTCACTGTCGTCTTCCCAGTACCAGGTTTCCCTACAACGCTGTAGTTGAACCCCATCAAGTTTTTCTTCCGTTGCGTGGCCGATAATTGCTGTAAGGCCATTGCATTCTTAAATAAATTTACAGCAGCTTGCTTCACTTTCTTCAGGCCCACCAACTTCAGTAGATTTTCCATAGATTCCGAGCGACAGCCATATTGAATCTTCAAAGACTCCATTTATCCTCCACAGACGCTGGCCCAGAGATAATCGAACCGGATCCAGTTAATACACTAGCCGTTGACTGGATATGCTGCGCTTCGTCTTCATTCAGCCATTAAGTAGCAGCTCCTGGGTAAAGTTTAGCGAAAATATCCAGCAATTTGTGCTAAATATCCGACGTTTTCGCTCGACTTGATCGAAAAGCCAATCGGGCAATAGCCACTATGACTAGCGGATGCGCGTATCCACTTTCCTCTTCACAAACTCGAGTCACGTATATCTCCAGTTTCAGACGTACT